AGCTATCATCCAGTCCAACCCCATTCTGCTAAGAAGCAGGACAATCGCATTCAAAGCACCCCCGACAGATGGCCATCCAGCCTCTGTTTCAAAGTCTCCAAAGAAGGAGCCTCCACCACACTCCGGGGCGGAGAGTTCCACTGCTGTACATAGAATCCTAGAATTGGAAGACTTGGTGGGCCCTCCAGTACAACCCCATTCTGCCAAGAAGCAGGAAAATTGTGTTCAAAGCACCCGCAAGAGATGGCTATCCAGCCTCTGTTTCAAAGCCTCCAAAGAAGGAGCCTCCACCACACTCCGGGGCACAGAGTTCCACTGCTGAACATAGAATCATAGACCTCATGGGCCATCCAGTCCAACCCCATTCTGCAAAGAAGCAGGACAATCACATGCAAAACACCCCTGACAGATGGCCCTCCAGCCTCTGTTTCAAAGCCTCCAAAGAAGGAGCCTCCACCACACTCTAGGGAAGAGAGTTCCACTGCTGAACAGCTCTCGCAGTCAGGAAGTTCTTCCTAATGTTCAGATGGAATCTCCTAGAATCATAGAATCATAGAATCAAAGAGTTGGAAGAGACCTCATGGGCCATCCAGTCTAACCCCCTGCCAAGAAGCAGGAATATTGCATTCAAATCACCCCTGACAGGTGGCCATCCAGCCTCTGTTTAAAAGCCTCCAAAGAAGGAGCCTCCACCACACTTTGGGGCAGAGAGTTCCACTGCTGAACATAGAATCCTAGAGTTGGAAGATACTTGGTGGGCCATCCAATCCAACCCCATTCTGCCAAGAAGCAGGAAAGTCGCCTTCAAAGCACCACTAACAGATGGCCATCCAGCCTCTGTTTCAAAGCCTCCAAATAAGAAGCCTCCACCACACTCTAGGGCAGAGAGTTCCACTGCTGAACAGCTCTCACTGTCAGGAAGTTCTTCCTAATGTTCAGATGGAATCCCCTTTCTTGTAGTTTGTGTCAATTTGTGCCAGTGAACACCAGTTGAGAAATGCGATGGTAGATTCTCAACCAATCCAACCGAGTTTGTGGCAGGCACCAAAACAAAGTTTCTCGAGTTGAATACCGACTTTTGTAGTAAGTACCGCACAGTTAAGCAGGAATAACACCTTTGAACCAGGAGCACACAATTTTTCAAATTTTGTTATTAGTATGGCTTCCAACCTAGTGAAGACTCCTCAAAGGAGCTCCACCGGCCCTGATGCACCACGGCCAGCCATTGCTATCAATCTGGCCGCATTGCTAGGCCGGTGGGCAAGGCTGGCTCAAACAAAAGGACTCCTCCTTCCTTCCTGACAATGGCCAGGCGGCCCTGTTATGAAACACAAGCAGAACCGCGGAGGCCATTAATATTTGATACAGCTGGCAAGGCGCTTCTCCAATGGGTTTGCTCTCAAAATAATTCATGCCCAACGCTTCTCTGCCTTTTGCAAATCAGGTCTTGGAGGGGAGAAAAAGAGCGTCCCGCAGGAATGGCTGGGATCCCAAAGGCCATGCACACCCTCAGCAAAAGGAGGGGAGGTCCCAAGCATCCCACGATTAGAGCGAACCCAGGTCCAGGCCTCCTCTGCGGATGTCACTGCTCGAGCCCCCGTTCCTCATCTTTGCCGAAAGGAAACATGCAAAAGGGTGGGAGGGGGAGATCCGTGCACATCCTTCCCCGAATTAAAACACACCCCCACGCACACGTCCCTCAAACAGATCGGGAATAATTACAGCACGGCTCCTGAATATTCAAATGCCTTCCGGTATAATTAATTCATTAATTATTCCCCAGAAAATTAATAAACCCACATTGCCTGGAGGGCTTCCTGCAGAAAGGAGAGGAAGAGGGAGCAGGGGAGGCGGGCAGGCAGGCAGGGAGGGGGGGTGGCGGCCCCAATGCCCACCCTGCCCAGGGCCACGGGGACCGGAGGAAGCCATACTTCAGAATCAACCCCATTCAGCCTCCCTTAGGCAGGCTGCTTTCTGTCTCTCCCTGAGGAGGTCCCAAGCAGAGACAGAAGAGGGGAGGCCAAGGGGGAAACGGGACCAGGAGCATCCCAACAGGAGAGAACATCAGAATCACTTGGCTGGGCGGATGAGGGTGTCGGGTCAGCAGGATCTTCCTCATACCATGAGTAATGTATATACCTGGCATGGCAGGTATATACAGGCCGCTGCCCCCTGCTTTAGTCCATTGTTTTCTTTTTCCCTCCACATTTTCCATTTATTTTCCATTCCTTCATCCTCTTCCTTTCTCCATTTCTCCCTTCCCCTTACTTCCTCTCATACTCGACTCCTTCTACCCTCCTCCTCCCTTCCCTCCTTCCTTCCTCCTCTCCTTCCCTACCCCTCCCTTCCCTCCTTTCTTCTTTCCCCTTCCTCCGTCCCTCCTAACTCCTTCCTTTCCTTTTTCCTCCCTCCTTTCCTTTGTCCAATTCCCTCCCCATTTTTCCTCCCTCCCTTCCCTTCTTCCTCCTTTCCCCTGCCATCCTCTCCTCCCTCCCTCTTCTCCTCCTTCCTTCCTTCCTTCCTCCTCCCTCCCTCCCTCCCTCCCTCCCTCCCACCCACCCTTCGTCCTTTTCCCTTCCTCCCTTCCTTTCCTTCTTCTTTCCCCTTCCTCCCATCCTAACTCCTTCCTTTCCCCTTTCTCCCACTTATTTCAACCTTCTTTTTTCCTTTCTTCCTTTCCCCTTCTTTCCTTCCTTCCCTTCCTCCTTTTCCCTTCCTTCCTTCTTTCCCCTTCCTTCCTCCCTCCCATCCTAACTCCTTCCTTTCCCCTTTCCCCCTTCCTTTGTCCTTCTTTTTCCCTTCCTTACTTTCCTCCTTCATTCCCTCCTTCCTTCTTACCCCTTCCTTCCACCTTTCCCTCCTAACTCCTTCCTTTCCTTTTCCTCCCTCCCTTCCTTTGTCCATTTCCCTCCCTCCCTTCTTTCCCCCTTTTTCTTCCCTTCCTTCCTTCCCTTCTTCCTCCTTTTCCCTGCCATCCTTCCCTCCTCTCCTAACTCCCTCCTTTTCCCTCCCTTCCTCCCTCTCTCCTTCTCACCCTTCATCCTTTTCCCATCCTTCCTTCTTTCCCCTTCCTCCCTCCCATCCTAACTCCTACCTTTTCCCTTTCTCCCCCTTCTTTTGACCTTGTTTTTCCCTTCCTTCCTTTCCTCCTTTCCCCTCCTTTCCTTCTTTCCCCATTCCTCTGTCCATTTCCCTCCCTCCTTTCCCCTTCCTTCCTTCCCTTTTTCCTCCTTTCCTCCTTTTCCTTCTCCACTGTGATTGGCTGGCCTCCCATCCAAGGGGAGGACTGTTTCTGAGACTCCAAGTAGGGAGGGGAGAGAAGCCATGCTCTGAGCATAAAAGCATGTTGTGCATACATGGGAGAGCATGCGAGGCTGGAGAGGGGTTTGCACCAGGGAGCCCCTTCAAAGGATGGGCACTGAGTGTGCCAAATTTGGTTCCATTACATCGTTGGAATTCAGAATGCTCTTTGATCGTAGGTGAACTATAAATTCCAGCAACTACAACTCCCAAATGACAAAATCAACCCCCCAACAACTCCACCAGTATTCAAATTTGGGGTGTTGGGTATTTGTGCCAACTTTGGTCCAATGAATGAGAATACATCCTGAATATCAGATATTTACATTACAATTCACAACAGTAGCAAAATGATAGTTATGAAGTAGCAACGAAAATAATGTTCTGGTTGGGGGTCACCACCACATGAGGAACTGTAGTAAGGGGTCATGGCATTAGGAAGGTTGAGAAACACTGAATTAGGGAATGACATTGAGATGGCAGAAACAGAAATCATGTGACATTTTTATATTATTATTTATAATATTTTTATAATATAATAATAATAATAATAATAATAATAATAATAATAATAAACAAAGTATGGAATGTCGATGTCTCAATCCCAGGTGACAGCAGGATTGAAGAGAAACTGGAAAAGCTAACACGATATGAGGATTTAAAGATTGAACTGAAAAGACTCTGGCACAAGCCAGTCAGGGTGGTCCCAGTGGTGATCGACACACTGGATGCAGTGCCTAAAGACCTTGGCCTGCACTTAAACACAATCACTGCCGACAAAATTACCATCTGTCAGCTGCAGAAGGCCACCTTAATGGGATCTGCACACATTATTCGCCGATACATCACACAGTCCTAGACACTTGGGAAGTGTCCGTGTGATCCACCACAGCAGCTACCAGAGTGATCTTGTCTGCTGTGGACTCATCTTGTTGTGCTTCAAATAATAATAATAATAACAATAATAATAATAATAATAATAATAATAAAGTCCTAGACACTCGGGAAGTGTCCGACATGTGATCCGATTCACCAGCCAGCAGAGTGAGCTTGTCTGCTGTGGACTCATCTTGTTGTGTTAATAATAATAATAATAATAATAATAATAATAATAATAACAAAGTCCTAGACACTTGGGAAGTGTCCGACGTGTGATCCAATTCAACAGCCAGCAGAGCGATTTTGTCTGCTGTGGACTCATCTTGCTGTGCTTCAAATAATAATAATAATAATAATAATAATAATAATAATAATAATAATAATAAAGTCCTAGATACTTGGGAAGTTTCCGACGTGTGATCCAATTCAACAGCCAGCAGAGTGTCTGCTGTGGACTCATCTTGTTGTGCTTCAAATAATAATAATAATAATAATAATAATAATAATAATAATAATAAAGTCCTAGACACTTGGGAAGTGTCCGATGTGTGATCCAATACAACAGAAAGCAGAGTGTTGTGGACTCATCTTGTTGTTCTTCAAATAATAATAATAATAATAATAATAATCCTGTGTCACCTTGTAGCTCGAGTTAAAACCCAGATATAGAACACAACACAATCAAAACACATCTAACCAGGTGCGCGAAGGTAAAACACAGGTTCAAGTCCACTTGATATGCTTTTCCTCAATGGCAGCGACCGAGGCCCCAGAGAGGGCGTGCGTGATGCTTCCGGACAGGACGACATGCGTGTGCCTACCTGGAACGTCGATTAATCTCTTGTAGACATTCAGGAACGCTGCCTCGGCTTCTTTGCTTCTTTTGCCCAACGCATCAATCTGCAGGAAAAGAAAAGAGAGCGGGGGGAAGAGTCAGTCTGGGATCCACTCGGGAGGCACAACATTTCCGTACGCACGCACACACGCACGCACTCGAGCGCGGCCCTCCATCAGCAAGAAGGCAGCTCTGCAAAGGGCGCTCCTGCAAGCCCAGGGGCTCAAGGCACCCTCGTTGGGTTTTGTATATTTCAGTAATATTACCTCCCGATCTTTTTACCCCGGGAACTTCTTTACGTCCCTTCCTTGGCTTCTAATGTCTGGAGGATTTCTCAGATTCAGAGGGGCCTAAAGCAATGCAAGGAAAATGGGTTGCTGGTGGTATTGGTGCTTGGCTTTGTTGTTTCTTGCATTCCAAATGTTTTGTCTTGTCTATTTCGGCAAGTCAGACTTGGCCGCGGTGGTCCACGCTCTCGTTACATCTAGGATAGACTACTGCAACGCACTCTAAGTGGGATTGCCCTTGAAGACTGCTCGGAAGCTTCAAATAGTCCAACGAGAAGCAGCCAGGGTAATAACTGGGGCGGCATACAGGGAGGATACAACTCCCATGTTACGCCAATTCCACTGGCTGCCAGTTTGCTACCGGGCACAATTCAAAGTGTTATTATTATTATTATTATTATTATTAACTTTATTTGTACCCCACTAGCATCTCCCGAAGGACTCGATGCGGCTTACAAAGGCCAAGGCATCAAAACACAACATAACAATACAAAACCTAAAGCAAATTAAAAACAATTAAAGCAATATTAGACAACAAAGCAACAACAATAAACAAAACACCAAAACACAATAAAACTGGGCCGGGCCAGAGTAATGGGTACAGAATTAAAAGTGCTGATGTGACAGGTGATATGTAAGGATTATAGGGTAAGTGCAGTGTGCAGTGTGTGGCAATCTTAGTTCTAATAAAGTGCTTCTGGGACTTGGTATTGGAGATTTCCTATTCTGGGAAGGCACATCGGAACAGCCAGGTCTTCAAGTTCTTTCTGAAGACCGCCAATGTGGGGGCCTGTCTAAGATCTTTGGGGAGGGTGTTCCAGAGTCGGGGGGCCACCACAGAGAAGGCCCTGTCTCGTGTCCCCACCAAACGCGCTTCGACTCAGGCGGGATCACGAGCAGGGCCTCTGCAGATGAACTAAGAGAACGCGTGGGTTTGTAAACGGAGATGCGGTCACGCAGGTAGGATGGTCCCAAACCGTTCAGGGCTTTGTAGGTAAGCACCTGCACCTTAAATTGGGCTTGGAAAATAAACGGCAGCCAGTGGAGCTCCTTGAACAGAAGGGTTGACCTCTCTCTGTAAGGAGCACCAGTTAACATCCTGGCCGCTGCCCGTTGGACCAATTGAAATTTCCGAGCCGTTTTCAAGGGCAGCCCCACGTAGAGCGTATTGCAGTAGCCCAATCTAGAGGTGACCAAGGCATGGACCACCCCGTCCAGATCAGTCTTCGCGAGGTATGGTCGCAGTTGGCGCACGAGTCTCAATTGTGCGAAAGCCCTCCCGGACACCGCCGACGCCTGAGCCTCAAGCGTGAGCGATGAATCCAAGAGGACTCCCAAACTGCGGACCTGTGGCTTCAGGGGGAGTGCAACCCCGTCCAGCACAGGTTGCCACCCTATACCCCGGTCAGGTTTACGATCGACCAGGAGGACCTCTGTCTTGTCGGGATTGATCTTTAGCTTGTTCCTCCTCATCCAGATAGACACAGCGGCCAGGCACTCATCCAGGACCCGGGAGGCCTCCTTGGAATTGGGTGGAAATGAGTAATAGAGTGGTGTTAGCTCTGGCCTATGAAGCCCTAAACGGCCCCGGCCCAATTTACCTATCCGAACGCATCTCCCCCTATGAACCATTGCGGAGATTAAGATCCTCCGGGGAGGCCCTGCTTTCCGTCCCGCCATTGGTGGGGACGAGAGACAGGGCCTTCTCGGTGATTGCTCCCCAGCGATGGAACTCCCTTCCTGGTGAGATCAGGTCGGCCCCCTCCCTCCTGTCCTTTAGAAGGATGGTAAAAACTTGGCTGTGGGACCAAGCTTTTGGGACAGGGCAATAAAGCGGCAATAGGAAAGATGACCAGGCCAATTAGATTTGACGTGGATGACTAGGACGGTTTTAAATGGTGTATTTTAATATTTTGATAAATGTTTTTCAATGTTTATGTATGTGTATGTGAATTTGTGTCCTGGAATTGAATGTTTGCCGTGTATATGCTGTGCTCTGCCCTGAGTCCCCTTCGGGGTGAGAAGGGCAGAATATAAATGTTTTAAATAAATACATTTATTTATTTATTTATTGTGTCAGGAGCAAACCAAACAGTTGTATTGTATTTATTTTTAAAAACCCCACAAAGTTTGTTGTTGTTCATTCGTTCAGTCGTCTCCGACTCTTCGTGACCTCATGGACCAGCCCACGCCAGAGCTCCCTGTCGGCCGTCACCACCCCCAGCTCCTTCAAGGTCAGTCCAGTCACTTCAAGGATGCCATCCATCCATCTTGCCCTTGGTCGCCCCCTCTTCCTTTTGCCTTCCACTTTCCCCAGCATTTGTCTTCTCTAGGCTTTGCTGTCTCCTCATGATGTGGCCAAAGTACTTCAACTTTGTCTCTAGTATCTTTCCCTCCAGTGAGCAGTCGGGCTTTATTTCCTGGAGAATGGACTGGTTGGATCTTCTCGCAGTCCAAGGCACTCTCAGAACTTTCCTCCAACACCACAGCTCAAAAGCATCGATCTTCCTTCACTCAGCCTTCCCTAAGGTCCAGCTCTCACATCCGTAGGTGACTACAGGGAATACCATGGCTTTGACTAGGCGGATCTTTGTTGCCAGTCTGATGTCTCTACTCTTCACTATTTTATCGAGATTGGACATTGCTCTCCTCCCAAGAAGTAAGCGTCTTCTGATTTCCTGGCTACAGTCTGCATCTGCAGTAATCTTTGCACCTAGAAATACAAAGTCTGTCACGGCCTCCACGGTTTCTCCCTCTATTTCCCAGTTGTCAATCATTCTTGTTGCCATAATCTTGGTTTTTTTGACGTTTAGCTGCAACCCGGCTTTTGCGCTTTCTTCTTTCACCTTGATTAGAAGGCTCCTCAGCTCCTCCTCGCTTTCGGCCATCAGAGTGGTGTCATCTGCATATCTGAGGTTGTTAATGTTTCGTCCAGCAATTTTCACCCCAGCTTTGCATTCATCCAGCCCCGCACATCGCATGATGTGTTCTGCATACAAGTTAAAAAGGTTGGTTGAGAGGATGCAGCCTTGCCGTACGCCTTTCCCAATCTTGAACCAGTCTGTTGTTCCGTGGTTAGTTCTGACTGTTGCTACTTGGTCCTTGTACAGATTCCTCAGGAGAGAGACAAGGTGGCTTGGGATGCCCATAACACCAAGAACTTACCACAATTTATTATGATCCACACAGTCAAAGGCTTTAGAATAGTCAATGAAGCAGAAATAGATGTTTTTCTGAAACTCCCTGCCTTTCTCCATTATCCAGCGGATATTGGCAATTTGGTCTCTCGTTCCTCTACCTTTTCTAAACCCAGCTTGAACATCTGGCAACTCTCGCTCCACGTATTGCTGGAGTCTTCCTTGCAGGATCTTGAGCATTACCTTACTGGCATGAGAAATAAGGGCCACTGTACGGAAGTTTGAGCAGTCTTTCGCATTTTCCACAAAGTTTACTTAAGTGATATTTGTCTTGACTGTTCTAATGTAGCACAAATCCTATGTAAAATCATACTACGTATTTTTGACATTAATATTAAAATCTGAAATATATACAGAAAGTCTTTACTTTCTATTAAATGTCCTTTGATCAGAAGCTGGCCACTTGGGAGGGCCTCTGGCTATAAGAAGGTCCTCCACTGCGCATGGCTGCATTGCAGTAGGTTAGACCACACCTGGAATATTGTGTCCAATTCTGGGCACCACAATTGAAGAGAGATATTGACAAGCTGGAATGTGTCCAGAGGAGGGCGACTAAAATGATCAAGGGTCTGGAGAACAAGCCCTATGAGGAGCGCTTAAAGAGCTGGGCATGTTTAGCCTGCATAAGAGAAGGCCAAGAGGAGACATGATAGCCATGTGTAAATACGTGAGAGGAAGTCATAGGGAGGAGGGAGCATGCTTGTTGTCTGCTGCCCTGGAGACTAGGTCGTAATGGAGCAATGGCTTCAAATTACAAGAAAGGAGATTCCATCTGAACATGAGGAAGAACTTCCTGACTGTGTGAGAGAGCTGTTCAACAGTGGAACTCTCTGCTCCAGAGGGAGTGTGGTGGAGGCTCCTTCCTTGGAGGCTTTGAAGCAGAGGCTGGATGGTCGTCTGTCGGGGGTGCTTTGAATGCCATTTTCCTGCTTCTTGGCAGAATGGGGTTGGACTGGATGATAACCCTCCAAGTTTCTTCCAACTCTAGGACTATGATTCTATGTTCAGCAGTGGAACTCTCTGCCCTGGAGTGTGGTGGAGGCTCCTTCTTTGGAGGCTTTTAAACGGAGGCTGGATGGCTGTCTGTTGGGGGTGCTTTGAAGGCGATTTTCCTGCTTCTTGGCAGAATAGACCTGGACTGGATGGCCCACCAAGTCTCTTCCAACTCTAGGATTCTACAATTCTAATGTTCAGCAGTGGAACTCTCTGCCCCAGAGTGTGGTGGAGGCTCCTTCTTTGAAGGCTTTGAAGCAGAGGCTAGATGGTCATCTGTTGGGGTGCTTTGAATGCAATTTTCCTGCTTCTTGGCAGAATGGGGTTGGACTGGATGGCCCACCAGGTCTCTTCCAACTCTAGGATTCTATGTTCAGCAGTGGAACTCTCTGCACTGGAGTGTGGTGGAGGTTCCTTCTTTGGAGGCTTTGAAGCAGAGGCTGGATGGCCATCTGTTGGGGTGCTTTGAATGCAATTTTCCTGCTTCTTGGCAGAATGGGGTTGGACTGGATGCCACCAGGTCTCTTCCAACTCTAGGATTCTAGAGCTGTTCAGCAGTGGAACTCTCTGCCTCGGACTGTGGTGGAG